TATGCATGCGTTTGTCCCTATGGTTTTTGCTTTCTCTTCAGGACCTAATCAGACTAACTGGAAAGAATGTGTGAGAGTGAAGCCTAAGTTTCTATTTTGTTCTGATTGAAAGCAGACTAAGGATGAATTGGGGGAAGGTGGAAGGAAGGTAGACTGCATGCGTTTGACCGGGTCAACCAAAGCCTGAGCATTGTTTCTACTGTGAATGGCTCAGGGCTATGTTTATTTGGATGTTTTCTGAAGGACCAGACATTGTTTCTACTGTGAATGGTCTGGTCGCTGTGTTTATTAGATTGTTTTCTAGGGAACCAGGCATTGTTTCTACTGTGAATGGCCTGGTTACCTTAGCTAACTCTGAGGGTTGTCTGATTGAAGGGGTTTAAATTCTTGTTTATTTTGAGGGAGGATTTTTGGTCTAAGGCTAAGCATTGTTTCCATGGTGAATGGTTTAGCCTTAAAACCACGCACATAATTTAAACTAAGTATAAAGGAAAATATTTTATGTATATTTGCATGAGAACTGGCAGCTGGACATTGTTTCTACTGTGAATGGTCCAGCGTTAAGCCATATCATTAAGAAGAGAAAAAGAAAAATACAAAGTATAAATGGAAATAGTTTGGGCAAGTTGAACATTGTTTCTACTGTGAATGGTTCAGTCCCCTGCCCATATTTGTTTTTTCTTTTAAAAACAAAGTCAGAGAAATACTAAATTTTTGGATATTAAACAGCTCAGGGCGACTAGGCACTGTTTCCATGACGAATGGCCTAGTCATCTGCCCAAAAGAAGAAAGAAGTAGTTGTGCAACCTGTTCGTGTATATCATAAAGACAAGCTGGGCATTGTTTCCATGGTGAATGGTCCAGCTCTATGTCTTATGTAAGATGGGTATAAGGATTCAAGAACTTGAAGATTCATGAACTATCTATATGGAATAAACTTGGGGTAGTGAGAGTACTTACATCGGTGGTTTGGTTTGCATGTGAATGGATAGGATGACTAGTTTGTTTAAGTTTCATTACTATAGGTAGTTGCTGTAGTTGCTCGCCACGTGCTAGAGCCATAGAAGTTAGTGTCAATTCCTGCATTTTTTCTATAATAACGTTTTTTTACTTAGGTCAATTCCTGCATTTTTTGATATCTTTTCTTATTCTTGGCTTTGTATAAATCTTGACAAACTACTTTTCCTACGGGAAGCGCTGCCGAAATTTCTACAAATCCAAGAAGTTAATCAACTTTTGACTTGTCAGAGTTCAGCTTGTCTTTTCCATATATGGATTAGTATAAATCTGGAAAGTCCCCTTTTCTAGAGGGAGTGCTGCCCAAATTTTTACTAATTCAGGGAGTTAGACAAAATTCGACTTTGAGAAGTCAAAGTTATTCTCAAAATTCTGAACTTAGCCTTGTATAAATTTTGGAATAACACTTTTCTAGAGGGAGTGCTGCCGAAATTTTTGCAAAATTAAGGAGTTAGTTAAATTCAGTCTAAAAGTTGAGCTCGAGCTGTTGTTCGAGTTCGTATCTGACTTAGTATAAATCGGGGAAGTCTCCCTTTCTAAAGGGAGTGCTGCCCAAATTTCTGCTAATTCAGAGAGTTAGACAAAATTTGACTTTCCAGAGTTAGACATTAATTCTGCTTTCATATCTGACTTAGTATAAATCTAGGAAGTCTCCCTTTCTAGAGGGAGTGCTGCCCAAATTTCTACTAATTCAGAGAGTTAGACAAAATTTGACTTTTCAGGAGTTAGAGATTATTTCTGCTCCCATATCTGGGCTTATATAAATTATGAAAAGGCACTTTTCCTACGGGAAGCGCTGCCAAAATTTTCTTAGTTTAGAGGAGATAGATTATATTTTGACAGGTGATTCAGACGATCCACCCAGAATAGGGGAGACTTTGTGGTTGGTCTACCTTCAGCTTAAGCACTGACTTAAAAGTAGACTTAGGTTTAACTTATAAGGAAGTTTTGAGTGAGGATGTATTATGGAGTTGTATTCTCCATACACTTATGATCTTAGCTTGGGGATTGGTCTGCCGTGTGTTACATGTCCTTTTGATCATTTGATCCAAGTTCAGGGATAGATCCAGCTTGATCCCTTGAGGATCACTTACTGTTATCACTGATAACAGGTCGGTTGCACATTCGTTGGTCTACGACTCAATTTCAACTCTCCCTCTACACTCAACCTAAAAGGCTTTAGCCCCGGTGATTTCGTTGTTTTATTAAGGTTTCACCCGAACTTTTATTGAATGGTCATTTGACAAAGGTGCTGAGTATTTAATTAAGGTTGGTTGGAAAGGAGGTTTGGGGCTTGCATGGCTAAAGTGAGGGGTATGAGTGTCGAAGGTGGTTGGGGTTGACTTCGTGTAGTGTGTGGGCTGTTGATTTGGTTCGTTGATGTAATGGCAGGTATGTGCTGTGAAGTAGATTCTGAATCTGGTTGCCTACGATCACACATATACATATTATTGTGAGAAACCCCAGTGAGACCGTGAAAAGTGATCGTCACATACTTTACCCTTATATATGTATACATGGATATACTTGGGATGAATGTTTGCATGGGTTGAAGAGCCCCCACGTTAGAGCCCCATTCAGAAGCTGAGACTGAGGGGCGTAGAGGAGGTCTCTCCTTTTATTCTTGTCTCTTGCTTTTTGATGATTTTCTTAGTCGGACGTTTGGTCCTGGGTCGGGATTCGAGGTCCTTGTACAGGACATCCCAAGCCCTAGGCTCTGCAGGGGAGGGGTTTTCCCTCGCGAAGAGCCTATTTGATTTGCCTAGCGTGACACTCAGGTCGAGAGCCTGAGGTGCCTTGACGGCTGCACGACAACTCCTTCAGCCGTGCAATGTCGTGAAGGGCTAGGCCCTCACGACACTTCAAGTCTGACACTTGAGTGTCATAAGCGGTACTCGAATCCACGAGGGACCGCTTGATTATGGGCACTACATAGTACGTCATCGTTGCGACTGCTTGTGTACGCCTGCATTGCAAGTCGATATGAATATGCCCTGCGTCCGCGCGGTTTTATACTAAGTTCAGCGCGCGACACTTATCCGATTTCCGCATTGGAAAGTTATGGGTTGGCTACCGAGGGGCTAGGAGCGTTGTCGCGTTGTTGGTATTGTGTCGTTTCGTATATATGTTGTTTTGTGTGTATGAGTGTTCGTAAAGTGGAGTGCGAGTGGTGTGTGGGATGCGTCCTAGTCGACCGACGATGAGTCGCGCTTGGGACCTCAGCCCCCCCAAGATGTCGGTTCGCGTGCGGGTCTGATAGAGGCGTATTACCGCGCGTACCCCCTA